AATATGAAGTTCAACGATGAGAAATTCCAATTACTCAGATATGGTAAACATGAGGAAATTTTAATCTTCATCAGAGTACAAAACAAATTCTGGCCACAAAATAGAGCGAAACACCAACGTCAAAGACCTGGGAGTGATCATGTCGGGGGATCTCACCTTCAAGGACCATAACATTGTATCAATCGCATCTGCTAGAAAAATGACAGGATGGATAATGAGAACCTTCAAAACTAGGGAGGCCAAGCCCATGATGACACTCTTCAGGTCACTTGTTCTATCTAGGCTGGAATATTGCTGCACACTAACAGCACCTTTCAAGGCAGGTGAAATTGCCGACCTAGAAAATGTACAGAGAACTTTCACGGCGCGCATAACGGAGATAAAACACCTCAATTATTGGGAGCGCTTGAGGTTCCTAAACCTGTAATTCCCTGGAACGCAGGAGGGAGAGATACATGATTATATACACCCGGAAAATCCTAGAGGGACTAGTACCGAACTTGCACACGAAAATCACTCACTACGAAAGCAAAAGACTTGGCAGACGATGCACCATCCCCCCAATGAAAAGCAGGGGTGTCACTAGCACGTTAAGAGACCATACAATAAGTGTCAGGGGCCCGAGACTGTTCAACTGCCTCCCAGCACACATAAGAGGGATTACCAACAGACCCCTGGCAGTCTTCAAGCTGGCACTGGACAAGCACCTAAAGTCAGTTCCGGATCAGCCGGGCTGTGGCTCGTACGTTGGTTTGCGTGCAGCCAGCAGCAACAGCCTGGTTGATCAGGCTCTGATCCACCAGGAGGCCTGGTCACAGACCGGGCCGCGGGGGCGTTGACCCCCGGAACTCTCTCCAGGTAAACTCCAGGTACATACTCTAAACTGAGCCTCACTATTCTCGTAAAACTTTTCACCGCTTTCAGCAACCTACCTCCTATTTCATATATTTGCATCATCTGCCACATTGCCTGCCTGTCCATCCTGTCATATGCCTTTCCCAAATCTATAAATGCCACAAATACCTCTTTACCCTTATCTAAATACTGTTCACCTATATGTTTCACTGCAAACACTTGGTCCACACACCCCCTACTCTTCCTAAAGCCTCCCTGTTCATCTGCTATCCTGCTCTCTATCTTACTCTTAATTCTTTCAATAACAACTCTTCTATACACTTTACCAGGTATACTCAACAGACTTGTTCCCCTATAATTTTTACACTCTCTTTTGTCTCATTTGCCTTTATACAAAGGAACTATGCATGCTCTATGCCAGTCCCTAGGAACCTTACCTTCTTCCATACATTTATTAAATAATAACATTAACCACTCCAGAACTATATCCCCAACTGCTTTTAACACTTCTATCTTTAATGCATCAATCCCAAGCTGCTGTACCTCCTTTCATTCTACTCACTGCCCCATGAACTTCCTCAACACTCACAACTGGTTCTTCCTCACTCCTATAAGGTAGTAGTATGTATATATATATATATATATATATATATATATATATATATATATATATATATATATATATATATATATATATATATATATATATATATATATATATATATGTATGTGTATGTGTGTGTGTGTGTACGTGTGTGTGTGTGTGTCTGCCGAATATGTAAAACTGGTCAATTAGCAAGAACTCATTTAAAATTAAGTCCTTTCTGAAATTTTCTCTTATACGTTTAAAGATATATTTTTTTCATTAATGTTGATGTAAAAATTTATGATTTTGCACCAAAAGAATATTATAACAAGAACAATTTATTTTAGCCTAACCCAACTAAATATATTTTAGATTTGTTTACAATAATTTAATACTAAACAAACACAGTGAAACATATTTTTTTCGTTAGGTTCAGAATGATTTTGACGAAATTATTGCATACACAAATTTTCACTTGTCCTATATGGCAAGATGAACGTTTTCTATTTAAGCCAAGATCGCAAGTTCTGTCTATTCGGCACGACATATATATATAATATATATTATATATATATATATATATATATATATATATATGTCGTGCCGAATAGGCAGAATTTGCGATCTTGGCTTAAATAGCAACGCTCATCTTGCCATATAGGACAAGTGAAAATTTGTTTATGCAATAATTTCGCCAAAATCATTCTGAACCTAACGAAAAAAATATATTTCACTGTGTTCGGTTAGTATTAAATTATTGTAAACAAATCTAAAATATATTTAGTTGGGTTAGGCTAAAATAAATTCTGTTTGTTATAATAAGGTTAGGTAAGTTTTCTAAGATTCTTTTGGTGCAAAATTATAAATTTTTACATCAACATTAATGAAAAAAATATATCTTTAAACGTACAAGAGAAAATTTCAGAAAGGACTTAATTGTAAATGAGTTCTTGCTAATTGACCAGTTTTACATATTCGGCACGACATTATATATATATATATATATATATATATATATATACACATATATATACAGAGCTATGTATATGACCTAAATGTATCACCACCATTCATTCTTGCAAAGTTCCATAAGGTAACCTCACGGAGTTCTTCAGACCGCCTGTGAGTAATTAAAATAATTTAACATGGGACGTAAGACACACGTTTGTCCCCTTCGAGCGCCATCTATCGTTTTCTCAAAGGAATAGGGTTCTGTTACAACAGAGTATCCAAAGAGATGCAGTTTGGCCTGAAGACCAGCTGCTACTACTTGCTGTAAGGAGGGGCGACCTGACATGAGGTAGGTCACGTGTCATTCTCAGAGGTAGGTCAGGGTTGAACCAGAGACTGGTTGTTACTCAGGTGCTTTACAATACGTGCACTGTTACTCCTAACCTATGACATTAATTCAAGTTGCAATACACATTAATTGAACACGATTCCATTTAGTAAGATACTATGGCCCCAAATATTATATAGTCGGATTTGCTTATTTTAGCTATTAATGAGGAAGTTTGCAATATGATATTAAGTTTTATTTCGGCTCAAAGTAATGTGGAAGGTGACCAGGCGTAACACCTCTCTCTCTCACAACCGCAGGTATTTATAAGGAACTCAGGAGGGAGCAGCCAGAGGTGATGTCTTATGGGCGAATTGCTCAAGATACAGCTATGACACATCTCAGCTCAACACTCCAACCAGAGGATATATTGTGAAATCAGTAGATGTGTCAGCTCATACTGTGGGAATAAACAAACTAGGGTTAACTTAGACCAAACATTTCCCCTGCCCTCTTTTGTGAGTCATTTAGGGACAAGAAAGCGTGTCTGCAATTTCATTATCTTTCTCTTTTATATAAGATAAAGGAATTGAGTAAGTTTGAATTTGTAATGCCCATCTCAAGATTTGGGCATTTTTCGATTTCATCATGTTAATAAATGTTAACGGGTTATGGTCTGAATAAACTATTATACTATGAGGGGAAGAGCCTACATACTCATCAAATTGTTCTAGAGACACCACCAATGTAAACACCTTCTTTTCTATTGTTGAATAGTTAAGTTGGTGCTTCTTTAATTTAGATAAAAAGTAAGACAGAGGATGTAGTAACTGAGAGTGTGGTGCTTGTTGCAACAACACAGCACCTAAAACATTAGTAAATGCGTCAATCTGTAGATGAAAGGGTTGGGTAAATTTAGGGCTTTGCAACATAAGAGAGGCTGAAAGTAGTCTTTTTAACTGTCTAAAAGCTAGCTCACACTTTGATGTGCAGGTGAATTTTGTTTTAAGACTTGTGGCTTCAGTCAAAGGAAAAGCTATTTGGGTGAAATTGGGGCAGAAACAGCGATAATAGCTGGCTATCCCTAAGAATATTTGCACTGCTTTCCCATCTTTTGGCACAGGGAATTCAACAAGGGACTTGATTTTGGCATCAAGAGGGCCTACCTCGCCCTGACCGATCTGAAATCATATATATTTAACTTCAGCTTGTCCGAATTCACACTTGGACAAGTTGATCATGAAATTATACTGGTTTAAGAGTTTTAATAAGGCTTGGAGTTGCCTCGTGTGTTGAATACAACTATCACTAAAAACCATGAGGTCATCCAGATAGGCTTATACCCCTTTCAAGTCTTTAGTCATTTGATCCATTAGACATTGAAAAGTCGAAGTTGCATTACAAAGACTGAAAGGCATTACTCTGTAATTGTATAGGCTTCCTCATACCACAAAAGGCAATATTTCCTTCGCCTTAGGTGAGAGGGATACCTAGTAATATCCTCGTAACAAATCCAATTTGCTTATGTATTTAGCCCCGGCTACTTGATCTATTAAATCGTCAATTTGTGGGATCGGAAATCCATCAGGTATAGTGGGGGATTTAACTTTCCTGAAGTCGGTGCACATTTGTGTGGTCCCATCAGGTTTAGGTACCAGGATACACAGTGAGGCCCATGGACTTAGACTGGGTTTGCCTAATCCATTTGTGAGCAACCATTCCACCTCCTTTTCCAATTCTGCTTGTTTTAGAGGACTTACCCAGAATGTGGGCTACTTAACTAGAGTATTCATTTTGAGATTTATCTCATGAAATCTGGGAGTACAAGTTTCTGGAATGTCCCCGAATAATTGAGGATACCGGTGAATTAGAGCATTTATTTCCTATTTCTTATCCGATTCTAGAGACACCAATAACGTCTCTAAATTCTGTAAGGCTTCTGAATTTTTTAAGAACACTGGAATTCCTAATTCATCTCCTGACTGGGGTGTTTCTTCCTTCTGGTAAGGCAAGCATGCACTGACTGGAGAAAGAGGAGGAACATAGGCTTTAATTAGGTATAGGTGATAAATCCATTCAGAGTTTCTTCTATTGGATGTTTTTATCACATACTTTTACATCATTCACTCTTCTTACCACCTCCAATGGGCCGTTGAACTTTGGTTGAAGGGGTTAGCCTGGGGTGAATCGTTGTACTAGTACCTGATTTCAATGTTTGAAAATATGGAGTTTTGATCGTAGGTTATACCAAACTTACATTTTTATTTGGGCTCGTTTCAGATTTTTGGAGGCCAATGCTTGGGCTACTGAGAGACGCTACCTGACGGCCTCAGGGGAGGACATAAGGGTGGGCTGATTTCATTCATCGAGGCCTCTTTGAGCATCAACATAGGTCCTCTAACTTGGTTCCAAAAAATGAGTTCAAATGGAGTGAATCCTAAACTTTCTGCTACACTCTCTCTCAGGGTGAACAGCAGGAGTGGGAGCCCATCGTCCCAATCCTCATGAAATTGCTGGCAATATGTTCTCATCATAACTTTTAGGCTCTGTGAAACCTTTCAACCACTCCTTGTGATTGTGGGCGATAGGCTGTAGCGAATTTTAATTTTGTTATATAAAGCAATGCATCTTGAAATAATTTGGAAATGAAATTGGTTCCTTGGACGGACTGTACTTCTTTAGGGAAACCGAACTGAGAAAAAAAAAATAAGTAATGCCTGAGCTATAATTCAGATCTTAATTTTCCTTAGGGAAATGGCCTCAGGATATCTCATAACCGAATCTACAGTGGTGAAATGATATCGGTTTCCTTTCTTTGCTTTAGAAAGTGGTCCGACACAATCAATCACTAACCTGGAGAATGGTTCTCCACTCACTGGAATAGGAATAAGGGGGCTAAAGGGGAATTGTGTGAGAGTTTGTCAATTAACTTACACGTGGGACAACTTTTCATGTATTGCTTTATCTTTTCCTGCATTTTGGGCAAATGTTTTTTACCCTAGATGGCCCCCAATGGAACTATTATGAATCATTTCACAGACTAGGTCTTTAAAAGATGTTGGTAGCGCAATTAAAGTTTTGACATTGGAATTTCTCCTTTCTTTCAGCACTACCTTTTCCCAAAAAGAAACATGGTGCCAACTTACTTGCCTCTTCTATAGGGGCGGTGTTTTTCCAATTTTCTCCAGAGCGAGGTCGGAGTTTTGCTCTTCCACCAGAACTTTCCGATCCAGTAGGTTCCTACCAGACGAGGGAAAAGTCACAACACTCGTCGCCTCCTCGGGAGGTGATACATCGGCTGGGGTTATACATTAAACAGATTACCTAATTCTATATCGACACTATTATTCATTATTTCGAATGGGGCATTTACGGCTTCCAATTAGTCATGGCACAGGTCACCATACTCAAAGGAAATAGTAAGTCCCTCCTTTCGGGCCTCTACTGCATAATGATCCTCAGTCCCATTTCCCATGACTAGTTTCGAGATCATTTCCCACTAACAAGTCGACGTCCTTTATAGGAAAATCCGTCGGGGAAATTCCAATGGATACCCAACCTTCAAAGAATGGGGTTATCACGTAAATTTGATACAGGGGTACCCTCAGGGAGGTGCCTGTAAAGGCTGCTAACAGCCCATCTAGTCCAGTGTAGGAACTCGTAGGGACAGTCAATATTCCTTCCCGAAGCAAGGTTAGATATGAACCTGTGTCTCGAAAGGAGCTTACTTCGGTCAATAGTTGATCGGTAATTCCCACGTTACTTGAAGAAAAATAAGGGTTCATGGCGTGGGATACATCCAGAGCAGTAGGTGGGGATACAGAGAATCAGCTAATGGGCGTTGCCTCCCTTGGTTTCTCTTTTTTCCTTGGTAATTTCTCAGTCTCTGTTGCATTGAGAAGTGTAGAGGAGCTGAGAGGGAAGGCCGGGTATTCAGTCTTTTCTTGGGTTTTCTCTACGTTTGAAACACTGAGACATATTGTGTCCCTCCTGAAGGGGTCCTGTACTCGGGAGAGATATAGTTCTGAGTATTCGGTAAGGGGTTTACCCAGCAACGTTGTTGTACCTTTGGCAGGGATGGATTTCACCTCTTCCCAATCACATTCGCTAGGGACGAGTCTTTGAGACACCTCGAAATTATCTGCCAGTGCAACAGTTTCTTCTGGAGAACCTTTTGGATGACATTAGATGTTTCTGCAATTCCCCCGGGAGATTCGCATGAAAATCCTCCAACAGAATTAATAATGTCCATTCCTCTAGTGAGTGGACATTAACGGCTCTACACGAGAGGTCTAGAGCGGTCACCTTGTCTCGGGCATAGTCAACATAGGATTATCCTAGCCTACCTTCCAGGGAACAAAAAGCCATTTGGTTATTTACGGGGAGTAAATCGTAAAAATTTAAAATGGTTCTCTTCACCACATCGTACTGGGTGTATGTATAGCTCGTAAGGAAGAGAAGTCGTGCAGGTTTGAGCCTTGCCCTTTAACGCGGTATGAATTAAAGTCGCCCATTTCCCTTTGGGCCAATTCATGGTTTGAGCTTGATTCTCAAAAATCTCGAAGAAAACATCTATGTTACCTTCATCAAATTTAGGCATCATAAGTGCCGCTTTATGTAAGTCAAACCTGGTAAGCGTACTTTCCAAGTCTCCTTCGTTCCTTACCCGTCTTTCATATCTTAAGATTTCAAGCTTGAACTTTTCCTCAGTTTGGCGTTTTTTAGCTACTAACTAGACATTTTGTAAACGCAATATGCATTCGATGGAGTCTAATCAGTCTTGGGAAAGACTTTTGTAGGTCTCCCCTACTAGTTTTAGGTCGAGTACTCGGGTCGGTACTGTCGGTGAGGGGCGTTTCTAGACACTAGCTTCTAGCTTCCGACTCAGGTCCTACGGGACCCTTTGGCACAGAAGTTGGGGTGAATTTAACATGAGGAAGAGAAAGTTTTGTCCCTTCCTGTTCATTCTCTGGATTCGTTTCCAACACATCGAGGTGGAATTCGAGATTGCTAGATTCTAAGTTTATTCCTTCTTCCCAGGAGGGGGTGTCTGCAGAGATTCTATCTTTGATAAAAGTTTGTAATGTTAAGGTTTCTAGGGACGATTCCGATAAATTACTAAATAGCTCGGATCCTGGGTCCATTTTTATAGTTCTTCTGTTTAGGAGACTCCCATGGCTCTCCTATTCCATGGTTGCTAGACGGCCCCAGACGTCGGTGGTGCCTGCTTCCACATTTGCCTCTGTGCCCTTTACTTCCTCATTCAACTCTGTGTCCAACCCTTTTACAGTCCTGGCTCTAAGGTTCCAACCTCATCTTCTCTTACTGTCCCTACTTCGTCACCTTCCCATTTACATGTTCCAATGTCTCAACGTCCCCTCCAATTTAAATCAACGACACATATTCCTTCTTCTCCAGAGCCTACATCTTCATATAAGTTCAAATCTCCTTCAACACCCAAACCACATGACATTCCCAAACGTTCTTCTGTATCACTATGTCTAGGCCTTTACCTCGAGATACATCTGATACTGTTGTGTAGGTTCATCCACATTCAAATAAAGTTGCTCCCTCGCCTGTCCCTCCAAAAATTTCTGGCTGCCAACACACCTCTACCTCATTTTTTATGTCTTCCATTGTCTCTCCACTTTTAAAGCAAACTACATCTTCTCCCTCTGCCACAAAGCTCTCTCCGACTTCTCTCTCATCTGAGGCTATTGAAGCTATCTCTGCTTTTGTCGATGAGACAACACCTATGATGGATACCAGTCCACCCCCGACACTTCACATTCTCACCTTCCGCGCCTTTCTGCACGTCTTTCCAGTACTTCACTCCTTACTAGTTTTCCATTGCCTCCGCATGTTGACTTTATTGACCATTCTAGTCTGTAGACACCTGTAAAATGTTAATTTTATGCTCTATTAAGCAATCATGGCTAATTTCCAGTGGAATTCAAATTCAATTCAAATTCAAAGTTTATTCTCTATAAGGATTACAATGCTGAGTTTACAGAAATTTGGTTATTGTTTGGTTTACATGTAGTAAAATTGAGATTACAGAGTGTACCACTAGAACGCTTAGCATGGCTAGGCATTTCGGGCATACTTAGTTTTATTCTTAAATGTAAAATATTACAAATTATGAGGTAAGTTGGTATTATGGCTAAGTGACTAAATACTAGTTTATGAGTTTAGCAATGTGAATGCTTTTGTTTTGGCACAGTATATAGTTTCAGTATTGGAGTATCACAGGATTCATTATTTTAAGACTGAGATTAATATTTCTGTTTATGGTCAAATGAGTGAGCGATTGTAAGTGTGAACCACCAGGTGGTATTCGTGAAGTTAGTTGACGGGGTGTATCAGGGAGATAAGATGTTTTCTAATGGTAGTTTTGAAGGTGATGAATGTGTCTGCAGTTCTAGAGTTCTCAGGTAGGGTATTCCAGATTTTAGGGCCTTTGACATACATTGAATTTTTGTAAAGGTTTAGTCGGACACGGGGAATGTCGCCTCAGGGGTAATCAGGGAGAGCTTCAGTCGGTGAAAAAAATTGTAGCTCTTTTGTTTACCATCCGATTTCCTCCAGTTTTGGTGCACAAGACAAAGTGTTTTCACACCGTGTAAAAAATATTTGTCAAAAATATACCTCGAACAACAGCTGAGAAAACACTGAAAAATGGCTGATTTACTGAAAATGCCCTTGGGGGCAATTTATTCCTATATGGGAGGACGTAAGGTTGTTTGGACACTTGGTGCCGAGAGAACAATGCTTATACGAATTTAATACGTGACCTGTTCTCTAAAATAACTTATCTTTATTTCACAAAAAAATAAAGTTTGTTAGTTCTTGGAATGTTGCAAAAAATCTGCCCTTTACTCCCACATAACTCCCAAAGTATTTGGAATATTTCCAATAATTGCACGTAGGAAATTAGAGAAATCATTATTCTACAATTTCTGTTAATATTATTCCATTTAATTAAGTAATAAAGGAAGAATTATGTACATTAAGTGAATAAGTTACTTCCGAGATATTGGCCTGGAACGCCGGCCGGCCCGCCGTCTCGATTTTTTTTTTTTTTTTTTTTGGCGAAAATCGCGTTTGTTTGGGTGTATTTCTTAGTGCAGTTATCCTCTTCAAAACACCGTTTTCTCTTACTCAGAGACCAAAGAATACGGCATGAGAGGATTCACTCACTTATATCGAAATATTCCCGATGGTCTCTCTCTCTCTCTCTCTCTCTCTCTCTCTCTCTCTCTCTCTCTCTCTCTCTCTCTCTCTCTCTCTCTCTCTCTCTCTCTCTCTCTCTCTGTCTCTCTCCATGTTATGGCTTATTTTATTCAGTCTAGAGTATATAACATGTTTGTATGTTATTTATAGTGTTTATTATATTATATTAGATCAATTCTGATAGATAAATAAGCCGTAGAGTTGATATATAAGCTGATATAAGCGTAATAATGACGTGATTTCTCCTGGCTCTCTGGAGCGGGAATACTGCCAGTGTTCCCAGATGGTTCCTGATTGGCTCTAAGTCTATGAATAAGCTCCGCCTACTGTTTTATGATGCCAAATAGTCAATTATTATATTAGAAAGAATAATGCAAGAAAAGGCGATAAAAAACAAGGAAAAAAATCCAAAAAATATATGGGCTGAGAGCAGACGCGCTGCCAACATCGCCGTCACCATACCTGATATAAATGACTATAATTTCTTGTAGAAACGTCGTAGAACACTGACTCATTTAGACTCCATGACGAGGCCTCAATAAGGAATTTCATCGACACCATGCTTAGCCCTTCTAGGGTAGGGTAGGTGCCTGAGTCCGAGCCTTTAGCTCATAAGACTGTCATTCCCATTTGCCCCCTTGGGGCGGGGATGGCAGATGGCTTGTGGCTAGGCCTGGGGACAGTTGGTCCCAAAGATGAGGAGGTACTTGTGCCTCCTCCCATGGGAGACTTAGGTCTCAGACACTCCCTAAAGAGGGAGCCAAGGCCGGGCCACCACTTGGAAAAGGCCCGGGCCGGGAGAATACCGGCGAATCTTTAATAATAATAATAAAAATAATAAGGAATTTCACAGCAGACCTAGAGACTGTTGACTGGCCTACAGAATTCTCCAATTGGTACTGACGATTGGACAGACATTTTTCTAAACAAAATACTTAGACTATAC